AGAATCGGAGACTCGAAGCTTTGCTTCATCACCTGATGATAAGAAATCCTACGATGGAGACACTAATGATAATGGCGATTTTGACGTGAACCAGCTTCCAGTTGAGAATTTCTTTGATGATGACTCACGGAGTGAGGATGCTAACGCAACTAGGGATAATGAAAATGATGAATTCTCCGATAACAACGAAGAGGAAGATGATGGAGGATATTGTGGTTTCTCTGACGATGATGAAGGATATTATTATGATTTAAATACCGGTGAAACTTATACAAAATCGGAATATCGTTATTCAATCCGCGCATATTAATAATGATTCCAGCACATATTATTCGTGCAATCTAATTTTTATCACATAAAGACTAGAAATACGTTTTAATTTTAAATATATTTTTTTGTTGAACTTCACTAAGAATAAACATTTCGGACATAATGCTCATAAAAATACCAACCTTATTTTTAAACTTCGTGAGTCAATGCGATTACCAGTAAGGCGATCCACGATTTATCAGCATTACATAATCTCTCGCTAATTAACATTCATTCTTAGTCTGTAGAATGATTTGCATGACTATCTTCGATTACGCAAGAATACATGCTATTAGTAAAAGAAATGCTAATACCTGATTACGTTTACTGTCAAGTTAAAAAATCGTTCTCGCATCTTCTCGACTTTACATGAAATAAATGATGATCGAAACATAGCCCTATAAAAGATGCAATTTTTCTACTGTCTTCCCTTATGCAAAGCCAACGTGGCATTTAACAAACTCATCGAACTTGGTTTCACTTATCTTAAATCTGAATATCCGCAAATCCTCACAATTAAATTTCTAATCTGAATTTCTTTGCATAAATGCGCCCATTCGTCGTTTTGGAGAATATGCCTTTTATGGCTTTAACGGCTACTTTATTTTTTGTCGTTGCAAAGATGACCCCCGAAAATATCCATTTGTGTATAGGATTCATCACCATATGGTTATTCCTGTGGGACGTAAAGCGAAAAAATGCCGATGAAACAAACTCTCGTGAAATCAAGATCAACACTGAACAAATCCGAAATAAATTCCCGTGATGCTAACTATGCAATGGAGACACAGAATATCATTAACGTGATAACTGGGAAATATAACGAAATCGAACAAGTCCTTCAAATCTACCATAATAATTTTGGTAGAGTCGCAACTGAATTCGAATCAATCAATGGATCTATCTCAATGCTCCAAAATTAAATCAATCGATATTATGCCGTTATCCAGGCACAAAGTGTCATTTCTCCCGAAATAATTGAGCCTACCGAGGAAGCAGAACAATCCGATTCGAGCCAACGATGGTATGACTTCAGAAATCTGGAACCAATTTAAAAATTATTATCGTAGAATTAATGATTTAAAAGGCAGTAAATTAGATCAAATAAGTGCTTTGATTGATAGCAAACCAGTTAATAGTGAGTAGCGGGAAAGGAACTGCCATTCTTGCATTGCGAGAGGTCTAGGGGCCGGCTAATTCCTCCCTTTAAATCCTGCTTCTCAATTCAATTTTAATTAGCTAGCTCTTCTCGCAATAGCGAAGAACATATACGATATGATTTAATCAGTGTATGGTGAATGTTTTACGAAGTGGTAGGAGGGTAATTAAAAAGCATAAGGCTCAACCTCATGTGACATTCAAAACGTATGTGATTGAATTTTTCATATATAAAAATATTGCCGATCACATGAACAATATGTGACTCCTTATTATTTATCGCACGTTACACTGATTTGCAAAGATATAAATGTTTTGCCCAATCAAATCTACTTAACAATATAATCAAAACATGACCACCTCTGAAACGCGTTGGGAATCTAGACTTCCTTATTTCGAAAACAATGAGACATGGAAATTAATAGATTTTTTACAGTGGAGCATAGCGTTTGCAGAAGATTTCGGTGATAAACGAGACGAACACCTATTATATAAGGTTTGCTTGGAGAAGCTTCGTCTAAAACCACAATTACTTAAGTCTCGTGATGGTGAACTTGTTCAACAGTTGGTCTCGTGTTGTATGAAGTCATTTGAGGTTTGGCTTTTTATTTTATTTTATTTTTTTTGTTTTGTTTATTCCGGGATTGTACCAAATGCTAGGATGAGTCCGAATCTTCTTTGGATGAGTCCGGAGAATGCATTTTGTTATATTCCCGTCACTAACTGCCGAAAGTGCTAAGATGAGTCTGAATTCCCGAGAGATGAGTCTTTCGGGGCACTTTTTACTATTGGATGAGTCTGATGGTATCCCGGCAATCCACTTTTCTTTTTCTACATATATAGATGGATACGAAGTTGCCTGAAGTAAAGAAGTTCTGGGAAAGCAGTTCTACTGTTATGAAAGTGTTAAAAAAAGCGTCAGTTAAAAATTCGAAAAATATGATCAATCAAGTTTTAAATTTACATACGGATTTTAGTGAAGCACTTTTTAACACTACTCGGGAAACGGTAAAACCTGGTAATACATTCTATAAAGACAACGTACACGTATTATGTGCTGAATTATGTATTTAACCTTTTATTTTATGATGCGGAATAATAGCTTTGAAACGGGGGTTGTCATCTGAAAGCAGTTTAAGTGAGGAAGAAACAGTCACAGATGCTGACAGCAATTCGTTTTTAGTATCTGAGCATGAGAAGGATTCGAACAATGCAACTGCTAATCAGGAAGATGTGGTATAGTAGTTTTCATTGAGAATGTTTTTATCAAAGTCTGCCTATTTGTAACAGAGATATGTTCAAGATTGTATTTACCTTTTTTTTTTTGCGAATAGCTTGTTCAATATACTTATGCACAGGAAGTATCAACCGAATGTATAAAATTACAAACTCATAAGCGAGAAAATGAAATTGATATTGAAGGGGATGTTTCATGTAAAAGGTAAAGAAAATTATTGGCGGTAAAGTTAAGAGAACATAAAAGCTCATGTGTATTTTCCATTTAGGCAAAAAAGCGAGACGAATAGTCCTAATGCAGAAAATCCGCAACTAAGAAACAATAGTGAAAAATCTTTTTCCGAGTCTCTTTCCTCCTCTGATGATAATAAAGAGCTTGAAGACGATGAAGAAATTAAAATTGATCTAACAGACATTTCGATAGAATTGCGACGTGAACAGATAGTTAAAGTATGTCACATGTCAAATACTGATTCCTTTATTCCTTGTATCTCATAGTTTTCTTCTATTTTTAGTGGGAGGTTGGTTGTATTAATATAACCGATAGATTTCAGCAGTATCAGAAAGATGTTTTTAAGAAGGCGCAGAGAGAGGGTTTAAAACATGGGAGTATTTACGAACTCTTGTAAGTATTCTAAATATATAATATTTGACTAGCACAATGACATATAATATATATCAAACATCTCTTTTCCTCATTGTTTTCAGAGCTTTATCATCAATCATAGTGCTCTGTTCGCCATGTCCGTACCCCATGTTCACAAACCAAGAATGGAAAGAGATAATGAAGACTAATCCTTATACTATAAACGAACCACCACTTCCACCAGAGATTTCATCTTCTCTTCGTGACATCGCTAGTAGACGCTTAATTAACGGTGACGTTTTCATGGATTGTGGAGAATCGGAGTTGAATAGAATGGTCGCGCTCATGTTTAATAACCTGTAAACTTACTCGTTTTATAATACATTTTTATCATTCATGAATTCGTGGCTTACATAAATTCTTTAACACATAGATATTATGGTATTCCAGAGGTTGCTCCATCAAAGTTATCCGAGGAAGAGCACTGTGAAATGTACATTTATCCAATTGCTCGTTCGTTTCGTAGATCCGAAAAAGAATATGAGCTTAGATTAAATCGTGCCACTGCAGGATCAAAAACAAGACCCGACCTTTCATGTGTAGTGAATGATGTATCAATCTTAAATTCGGAGTTTAAGCCACTGGGTTGCACACCACTACAAGAGAAGAAGGATAGATTGAAGGCTCATTTAAAAGCTCGAAAATCAATTAATCAACAATTGGAAAGAAAGGGGGGTCCGGGTGAAAGTGTCATATTTTTAAACATCGGTACGTATGCTTGCAATAAATTACAAAGAGGTTTGTTATTTTTCATAATGTAATGAATTATGTTTCTACGATAACCAGGTAATTCAATGGAATCATTCTTAATGGATCTGAAATGTGATGGGTTGTACCGCTCCTGGCCGTTTCTCACAACCAAACTGGTAGTTGACAAGGCTACGATCCCATTAGCAGAGTTTGCAATCAGCCATTTTATTGCTTTGGAGGTACATAACACGTTTCTTTGAGCTTATAATGATACATTTGTTCATAAATTTTACTCTTTGCAATGGTAGGAACGTGTTGAAAAGATTGTGAAGGACTTTAAATACCGAAGCAGTCAGTTCACACCACCTGTACAGATATCCTATATGCGCAAACTTCCAAATACGCCACAAGTAAATATGTTACTTAAATAGAATCGGAAGTTTTATTAAATCATGTAGAATTAAACGTTTGGTTTGTGACTGAATAGCAATAACAATTTCTGCACCTAATTTGTATAATTTGTAACGCATTATGCTAAAAGCCAATCCGGGTTCATAAGCAGTTGGTAAAAAATAAAGCTTATTTTTACCGCATATATGCTGACCATTTGATCAACAAAGCGTGATGAGTCAAGCTTCAAATCATTCCTCTGCAAGCTCGGGACAATTAACATTTACGGGTATCAGTTTGACCGTCTGGAATCAATTTAAGCAAATTTTTGATCAGATCATGACCGAAAATAATTATACTTTGGAGGAGATATGTGTCTTTCTGTAGCTATGGACATTCGTTCATTGGGAGGAAATATTAAGAAGGCGACGGTACTAGGGTTTTATGAGAGAAATATTAAAAAGAAGAATGGTTATATTAGTACTTTAGATCAAATTGGTTTATGGATTGATAGTAAAACAAATAACCTAAGTAGTGAGTAGCGGGAAAGGAACTGCCATCATATGGGTTAGGGCTCGGCAGATTTCCTCCCTTGAAATCCTGCTTCTCAAAAAAATTTTATTTAGCCGGCCTTTAACTCTCAATATATTCATAAAAAAATAAAGGGATGAGTTAGGGCTCGGCAAATTCCTCCCTTAAACCCCGCTTCTCAATCTTTTTTCATTCAATTTCACTTAATTTCTTTACTAAAAAAAATAATAAAGATCTTTATTTTGAAATAACATGGTACATGAATAAAAATAACAAAATTTTTGAGCGTCCATTATTTTTTGGGAGTATATGAAACAGATATTTTAACATCTCCTACTTGCGCAGACACTTTAACTTTACCACCAGTTTTATCAGCATGTTCGACCAATGTCTTGGCTGTTTCTTTAATGGTGTTTGCAATTTCATTGCTTGATGAAGAGGACTTAGCTACTGTACTTTGCATGTTGGGCAGTAATTAGCGTTATCAGTGACACTCTTGTTAGCTTCACACTTTGAACAATATTTGTTTACCATTTTCTTTAAGCTTGCAATTAAAGGTGCAATTATAAGTATATAATAGTCCTTCCATAAGGAAAAATTATACTTATGAAACTTTCGTAAATAGAATACTCACTTTTTGGGTAAAATGAAGTTTTAGAAACTCAAATACGTAATCGTTATTTTATAGAGTTCCGATATTGGGAGTTGTGTACTGGCACGTGACACCAAATGCGTCATAAATGCAGTACATTATTCGTCTATCGGTTGCAGTATGAAAAAGTACTGAGACGGACGAGACGAATACGTAATTAAGGTATGTATATTTTTTCGGCTGTGACTGTGAATTTCCAATTCTGGGCTTTACAAATTAATAAATAATTTTTCGTTCAGGATTTCTAGGATCTTATTAGCATCACGGAATGCAAACAACATAAAATTTCGGCGGGGTTATGATGCTAATTAATTCCTAGTGTGCTTGTCGTGCTTGCCTTTGTATAACTGATGATTATTTTTATTTTATCCAGGATGTAGATGGTTGGAAACCGGATCATGGAATCAATATTGGGATAATGTGATAGTCGCCTTGTGACTGCCTCTGGTAAGAAAAAACGTTTGTGGATTGGCTTTGGTCAATGGTTAGGGATAAAGGCTCCTATTCGAAGAAGAGACGTATGTGAACACTTGAGGTTGCGGTGGAAAAGCTCCAACACGCCATAGAAGCAAAAGTTCCTGGAAAATTTTTATTGAGCATTTTGGTGCGTTTACATTGAACAATCCATTTCCCTATACTAGTCACAATTCCGATCATCAAAAATGTGTCGATAAATTGCTCTACGATCTCTACCTGTTATCCAATTCTATTAATCGATTTCTTAAAAAATATTATGGGAATCTATACAAGAAGCTATCCAAATTAAAGTGGGGGGCGTTCGCACCTAAATCATTCGGTGTCTTCCCTATGGTTGCGGTTAATTTCAATACGATCAGCGACTATCACTGGGACGAGAACGACGAATCAAATAGTTTCTGTTGTTTGGTCGCATTGGGGGATTTCGAGGGGGGCGAACTTTGTTTTTCTCAACTTAAAATAATTGTCCCACTTCGGCCTGGACAGGTTATATTGTTCTCCTCACGTTTATTGCTTCATGGAAACTTTGTAGTCACTAAAGGGATCCGTCATAGCATAGTATATTTCGTGCATAGCTTATTCTTCCACCACCAGCGGGACTTCTCGAATATTTACAATGACCTTAAAGATGGGATAGAAAGAGATGCAAAAGGGAGGGTTGTTTCTATGATTCCCCGGCAAGATCCCAACGATGCACGAGATCTGAATAACCGAATTGGATTCTCACAACCGAAAAAAAGTCAAACTGAGATACCAGAGAGATCTTGTGATAAGAGGCGAGGGAATATTGGTAAGTAATTGGCCTTGTTGTTAATCAAACATCTTTATAGCGGAGCTAGCGTCTTTGACACATAATTCATGCAGACCATTAACAGCGATATTTCCATTAGATTTGTCGCGCGCTCGACGTGGATTGAAAGCGAAAGATCCACTACCTGATGGAATATAGTAGAGCTGATATCTACGATATCTAGTTCCATACTTATATAACAGATATTATCATGAGTTGTATCGTATCGACTGTTCAATGTAAAAATATCAGGCCCTTTAGGGCAACTCGAAAAGTCATGATCATCACGTGTTAAATAAAGATTCTCGTTTGTAAATACATTAATCAATCACTAAGTTTTTTCGATCTGCACTAAAATTGAATCGCTTTATTCTAGAGTATATAGTTATTAGTGGAACTAGCAAGGCTAAACCAAATAGGTCTAAATATCCTAATCGATAAATATGTCTGGTTTTGATATCGCTACTATTATTGATAAAAAAGATAAAACACTTCCTAAACCATATATTAATCGTCCTGGTTTTGATATGAAGTATGCTGTATCATATATATTACATTATGGCGGAACTTATGCTAATAAACTCAATCAAATTTTCGATAATGAGAGATTATTTGACACTTTATCTACTATAAAACAGAACGAAACGCCTGTTCAATGGGCAATACGAGTAAGAATTCCATTACAAAATTTATTAAGTGCTGGAAAATTTAGTGTATATCATCGATACTGTTTATTTATGTCATACGGTAAAGGTAAATTTGTCAATTTCAATTATTATAGACCAAGAATCCACAAAAGTCATATGGCTATTTGCTTCGATTGCTGGAAACTCATAAAAATCAATGATGTGAATCCTAAAAAATTATTCCATTTTACTAGACAGAGGTATGTTGATTATCTCGAACCTAAAGACCTGATGCAGGAACATTGGGATCACGAATGCAATAAACCAAAGACTGATTTCGGAAAAGCAAGGATTATACAAAGAGCTTGGAAAAATTACAAACAGAGGCCTGAATCATTAGCAACCCAAGCTTGGAACGCAATGAGAAATGATGGTATTTCTGATGATGAAAAATTTCTAGGTTTAACGAGACATAAAGTGAAAAATCCTCAGACTCGAGAACAATTTAACCAATGGCGTACTAAATGGATTGAATTATATAAAAACGATCCTATGATGCACAGTTCCATTATTAATAGACAATATGAAGAATATTATATTCCAGTTAATTGGATAGATTCTAAAAAGAGTCAATTACGGATTAGATTCCGAAAGCGACTTTTAGAAATAGGAGCATAGTACTTTAGACTTTATTTCGTTATCTTTCCTAAAGGAAAGCTGGTAACATTTTTTATGGCATAGCCATGAGTTTTTATCTCTACTTTAGTTTCTATATACGGTTATTTTACCCGACACAAAAACCCCTCTCGGTACAAATAGAATTTATTTATTTTTTAACATCTACTTCAACCTCAATCAGGCTGGATACTGATAGCTATTTCATTGGAGAATAGTAGCGAATAAGATGTTAAAACCATCCACCCCAATTTCAATCACGGCTGGATACGGACAGCTTCTTAATAGAAGTGGCGAGTAGGATGTATGTATATTAATGTATTAATAAATAACGAGAAAAAAAAATGCCTGTTTACGCAATGGATATGCCTCGTTTTATTCATCTAATTTCAGAGGAGTGTCCCAACCGAGTCTAACTGCTAGAGGATCGTCTACTGCCTTAGTAAAATCAAAAACCACGAATTCTCGATTTCGCAAAAGTTTATCAATTATTTTGGATGCTTTTTTTGGATTATCTGTATATTGTCGCACGATTCTATGAATATCGTCTCGGTTCCCAGCTCCTCGAAACAATGCAAGATGGCTCAGATTTTCGCGGATAATTTTAGGTGTTTGTGTATATTTCTGTGACACATATATTGGCGAGATATTTTGGTGCCGGCCACTAATGAAGTAAGGAATAATTCGTTCTTGCATTTTCTTTGATTCGGCACATAGATCCTCGAATACAACAACTGTACTTCGATCTGGTGAGAATTTGGTTATATCTGGAATTTTATCTGGAGATACCCTTTTAAATGTGACATCTTCTCGATACGGTTTGGGGGCATTCGCAAAGATCTGAAAGCTATTTTGTACAAGTTGCCATTTCGGCTCAAAATGCTTGCCTATTAATACGAGATCATCGTTTTTGATATAACGATTTCCTTTCTTACCTTTAAACATTCGTTGTAATTTGTTACCTAGCATAAGATTAATAACCATATTTGTTTTTCCGCTATTGGAGCCACCTGTCACGAGGAGTCTAAAAGGCCAGTCGGGGGCATATTTGTTAGATTTCATTCGTTCTGAGGATTTGTTTGATATCTCATCAATATTATATACAAATATGGGCATGCCTTTATCTTTCATTCTAATCAAGATAAGCAATATTTATTCTTTATGCGATAAATAACCTTTCTTTTGTAATTTGCGTTTTATGTATGGGAATAAATCAGCAGAGTACGGGATTTCAATGAGATCTATACCTCGCTCTTTGCATATATCCCGCTTTTTTTGATCACGGTTCCA